TTTCACAAAGCGGATTTATTTCACAAGCGTTACAGAAATTTTTGTCGAGCATGATTCCCAGGAATACATCACCGATGGAACCATACACCGGTGAATCTTAACGCTGACTTGATATCGAGGTTGCTTACGAATGGCGAACCAATTATCCGCGTCGCGTTTAATACGTATATGCGTATATAGTAGAGAACGCGGGAAGAGAGAGAAAGAGAGAGAGAGAAAGAAAGAAAGAAAGAAAGAAATATACTCGTATCTGTTCACAAGACGGTATCGTAAAATAAGCTTCGTGGGGGCCAGCCTTATGCACCAATAAGGCAACATTCTGACCAGGTCAATGCTTACTGGTTTTGTATTTCAACTCGTTCCCGCGTCTCTCGCTATTTCAGCGATCGCTTCGGGCGAAATGATTATGTCTATACGTTAATATATATTTATGTATTATAGAAGGACTCTCTTGGGTATAGATCTCTTTCGATATATCCTGATTCACGATTTCTCTCCGATCATCTTTTCGAGAATATTATCCCTATCGTTTGCCACTTTTCGAAACAATCATTTCAATTCTTACTACAAATAGCGATGGGATCGAATTCGATATACGTATACAAATTTAAATAAAAAAAGATATAAAGGATTTATTTCATAATAAGATTCGAATATTATTAAAATAAAATAAAATATGTAAAATATTTGTGGGAAAGATTGATTTCAATAAAAATATTCACTTTTTTGTTATGGTTATATAACTTTGATGTGCGACTATATATATCAAATTTAATCATATATCGAAAATATAATTTTGTTTAAAAATACCCATCTTTTCTTTTTTAATTATAATAAGAAAAAGTATGATTTGGTTGCATGAATTATTTTTTACATAAACATACACGTATTTAAAAAAAATGAATCGTATTGTAGGAAATTTAAAAATTTGTCAATAAATGATATTTTAGAAGACATAATCGTATTAATAATTATAGGAATAAATTATTGTAACAAAAATTCTATAGTATTTTTGTAGAATATTTTAAAATAATATTTTAATGATTTTAAAATTATAGTTTAAAAAGATTATTTAAATTAAATTTATCATAGTATATAGTCATAGTATATAAATTAGACTCCTCAAAATATAAGGCGAGATTGCAAAAATTATTAATTCTAAAATTTGAGAATAAATTGATTTGGATTTCTAATGTTTAATATTCTGATATATCTATTTAATCCAAGTCTAGATTATCCGATAGATTATTTAAATGACATGTCTCGGTCTCCATTAAACCGGTTAATCAAGGTTGTATCGAATCGAGAAGTGAAGAAAACTTAGGATGTTTGAACACGATTGATAATTGATTTTATTCATACTTAGAAAGGAATATATAAACTGATATTTGACTACTTTTTCTTTATTTTAAAAAAAAAATGGTATAATGTTATTCGAATAACTTTGATCAATTTATATCGAATGAAGCAAATTATTATTTTTAAATTTTGTAATTAAATGAAATATAAATAAATAATTTTTAAGATTTATAATTATACAATATAATATATTAAGTTTTATTTTCGAAATCTGATAATTTTTTAAATTCATAGCAAAAATTGTATAATTTTAACTTTTATATGTATTCAATTAAATAAAATATTATAATAAATAATAATATTACAATAAATATAAAATGAAAAGTAAAAACAATTTTCTAATTCTGATGAATCGAATTGATAAAATATGTTTATTGCATCTGAATTCATAGTAAAACTTAATACATTTTCTTTTTTTTTTTTCTTCTTTTTTTTTATATAGAATATAAACGAAGATGCAACACGTCCCAGTTTCTAAAACAACATTAGCTACATTCGCGATCACGCCATTCGTTTTCATTGATCAAGGTTGCGGCGCATTTTTATTCTTTTTTCCTGATTGAATGATAAAATTAAAGAATTAAACAACAAAGTAAAAGGAAAAAAATATTTAATTTTTTTTTATATATCATATTAAGCTGTTATATTAACAAGAAAAATAAAAAATATATAATATAATATAATAATAAATAAAATGAATACGATATATCATCATATCATATAATGATTAATATATTAAGCACGAAGAAAATCGAATTAAACGCAGGGCAAACAAAGCCGAAGATTTTTGTTGAAAATTATCAAAATTATCAAATGAGAATAAACAATTTGTAGCAATTTGATGACCGATTTTCAAACCAAAGACATCATGAGCGAAATCATGCGAATCATGACGCGGTTAATATCTTTGTATCTTTGTAATATTATTCTTTCTTTTTTTGCTTGATATTTTTATTATTCCGCGGTTTTATTATTCCGATATTTTGATATTCTATACGTCATAGACATATCAATTCAAAGTTATATTATATTATTACATATTACAACATATTGTAGGATATATTGTATATTCTTATCAGATTAAAAATTATTATCAGAAATTCATTTACACATGCACATAATTCATATATAGAAGAATAATATCGGTAATTAATAAAAATAATTCTTTTTTCAAGATATTTATTGAACGAAGATATAATATTTTTTTTTAAATTTATGGAAAATAATTATCTATAATATCTTTTTCTTTTAGTAATTTAATTACTATTCTTATTATGTATAAAAATTGCGATTCATAATAATAATTATATTTATTTCTTTTTCCAGACACGGAGTCCTCAACGAAGGAGCAACATCAGTATGAAAAGAAAAGTTCGGACACAACGATGCACGTAAACGGGCATACGACACACAACGCGAAACAAGAAATGAGTAAGTTCTTTTCTTTTTTATTACATATTTGTACATACATATATTCCTATTCATAAATATTAAAACATTTATTCGTCTGGTATATAATGATTGAGCGGAAATTATAAAAAAAAAAGAAAGAATAATAAAAAATAAGTTTAAATATAATATTATTTCACCTAGTTGTGTAGTCATCTAGTAACTCGGTACGCTTCTATGAACAGAAATTACAGTTATGGCAATTTATCGTGGGCTAATTTTCTACCTTGATTTTATCAAAAAATGAAGAGTCATATAATCTGAATATTCATTATTCCAGTGATAATTGTTTAAAGCTAAAACTATTGATTTCTAATATATATCTTCATAATTACATATCTATACATATATTAGACAAATAATATATAATTAAATATACGTAATTATATTTTTATTTGAATAAATATATATTAATTGTTTTTAAAAAAAAAACACTTTACTACAATTTTTAATTTTTAATTTTTTAATGTGCAAAAGCGAGAAAATTTGAAATCAATCAATTTGAATGTTAATAAAAAAACATGCAATGGTATTAATTGCAAATCAACGTCGAAAATTAGAAAAATGAAGATAAAAGATAGAAGATATTCTATATTATATATTTTTATTTCTTGAACGTGAAACTCGTAATTTCAATATGGTAAAGTAGATGTGGGGATCGTAATTTGACAATTGGAACAGTACTAGAGAGACGCTTCGTCGCAAAGTCGAATGTGCGTCGTAAATGAGGAAAATAGACATTGTATGGTGGCCGATGTCACTTGTTATGTAAGTCATTCAAGGCTCGATGACGTTATGCGAAGGTGTGCCATCCTCATCCTGTTCTTTCGTTATTATTGATCCACTGTTTCGCTTATTTAGTCGAATAACGAATTCTTGGATAGAATTTTACGAAATTTGGTCAACATTTATTTCATTTGAATATTCGAACGTTTCAACACCTGGTTGCATGAACACTTATCGCAATGATATTCATTTTCGATTATAAATTTTTAATTATTTAATGATTTTATTAATATATCGATACAATATATATCGTTAAATGTTATAAAACTTCCTAGTATTTAATTAACAAAAATCTAATTGCGAAGAGAAGTACATAACAAAATATACATAAATAATTTTTGTTAAATATAGTAAAAATATAAAATCCTCGAATTCAAGACCAGTTTTATAATATTTCGTAAAAATATGTAATATTTTGTATGTAGAATGTTCGCTTGGCGACAAACGAGGATTCCGCTTGGTTCAATTTTATTTTCTAGACTGCATTCGCTGGAATAGTGCCGAAGGATGACATAACACGAATAATTTTAATGGAACAACTCCCTCGATATAGGACAAGATGATTTCAAAGAATAGTTAGGGTGTGTTCGATATCCAGGATGCGATTCGTTTGTTAGAGACGAATAGCATAAATCTAAAGGATAAATCGAACGCGAATCTAATTTCATCTCCGGAAATGTGTTCGATCGTGTAGGGGATTTTGATTTATGGAATAATTGTTATTGAAGGAAAGGGAAACTTAAAAACAATTATTATAAATGTGTAAAAATATCAGTAGTGAAAAATATTTTTTATCAAATTTATAATTGGTATTATGTTATGATATAAAAATTATAATCATATAAGTATTATTTATGGAATAATTATAAAAATCATTGTGTATGGTAATATGTTACGTATGATATGTTTTTATTATATGTTCTCTTTAAGAAAAGTGAAATAATAATTGCAATTGTGAAAATAATAGATAAAGAAATATAATAAAGACAAAAAAATTAAACAATTGACACGTACTAATGGAAGAAAATTAGTTCTATTTATCTATTGGGCTGTTAAAAAAAAAAGAAATAAAAAAGTATTAGATTTATGAGCATAATATGCATTTTTAATCTAAATTCTTTGACGAAGTTTAGAGAAAAATCACATTGAATGGATTTCATCGTAAGAAAAATTTTTTCGAAAATAAAAAAGGAGAAAAATATTTTTACTATAATATAAGTTAATGGTTAAGATTTATTTGAAAAAAATGGAGTATCGTGCAAAAAAAAATAAAAATAAAGCAAATCGGTGAAGGCAGAAAGAATAATCGGTATATGTGTATGTACAGGATATATCGTGTGCTTATCGTGACCCCAGTCAATGGTTCGCGTAGCGTAGTCATCTGGATCATCTGGAGTATCTAGAACGTATTGATCGCGGCTAAGCAGCTGTACTCTCGGGCTGGCAGTAACGTTGGGGCGGCCGTACGGAAAACACACGTGTTACACGGTCTCGCGATGAAAACGTCGGTGTCGTGAAAACTACTTTCGAGGGAAAGTGCAAAGCCCTTTCGCTTTGACCCGATCCAACACGATTCTTTCCACGTTCGGTGTGCGCGTGTCTTCGTTGAAACGCGATTTTTATTTTTTTCCCGAAATATCGAACGAGTAGGGATATGCCACGTTATAAGTTTAGTCGGCGATTAATCACGATTAATCGTAAATAATCGAATACAAAATGAATCGTTTATGTGCCGGCCGCGCGTTTTCTTTTCGTATCGTGTATGCGGGGTGCAGATTTCTTCTCTAAGTTTTATTATTTGTTAAAGTGATACGATGATGTTACACGTGAGGAAAGAATTTTAGCGAAGATGAGGATCAGGATGAGGTGGAGAATATTTTTTTGAATTTTTAATCATCCTTTAAGCGCTTATGTCGCATATATATATATATTATTATTAAAATTATTACACAATAGAAATAACGATATATATTTAAAATAATAATATAATAATAAAATGATAGTTGATAATAATAATAATAATAATAATAATAATAATAATAATAATAATATAATATGAATTTATATCGTAACAAACGATAATCCAATAAATATCGATAAAAAATTCGTGTCACTTGCACGATATACAAAGATTAAACCATAACGTTTACAGGATTAAATGTTTTTCGTTCTTCTTTCTTCCTTTTTTGTTGCGATATTAAGAAAACTCGTGTAAAGAAGTGTCAAATTTATGAATAGAAATAGGTTTAAAACGATATTTGATCGCGAATAATTTCATAGTTCAACAAGAATTTAGTTTACATTGTGGTTTCAAAGTGTCGATCTTAAATACCCATTTCGATGTTTGCGCAAATTTTGGAAACGTTTGACAACAAATAATTTCTTGTTTTGGAAACAATGAGTGACTCTATTTGCGTTGTAATTATTTATCGTTTGTTCTATTGATCAATGATTTTCGAACATGATGAGTTAGTTAGACATTAAAATGTGTAAAATTTGGAAGAATTTTGATTCGTGACACGTGAAATATACGTTATAAAATATTTATCGTTGATAAAATTAATATAATAATTAATTTTTAATTAATAATTTTTTATTTAAAAAAAATTATTTAAAAAATACATTTTATCGATATTGATCAATATAATAAATATTGCTTTTCTTCCTTTCTTCTATAATAATAATAATCTTTGAATATAAAATAAATTATACATTATCGAATAATATGTTTCGTTAAGAAAGTTTAATATTTACTAAATTTTAAAAAACTGATTTAACCACAACTATGACTTCTTCATCTCTATATTTTTACACAATAGCAAAAGTTATATTTTTTTTCACTACTGATTTATTGCTATTTCTTACCGATTATTGATTACAATGATTCAAAGCAAATATTTTAAATCATATAGTTGTCTTAAAAAAAAGAAAAAAAAGTTACAATTTGTTCTATATTTATTTTTGCAATAAAATCATATCATATATATGCATAAATATTTTTTTGAATGAAAAATATCAAATATAACTAAACTTTTAAATATTTAATGCAACTTACTATAGTCAGTTTGATATTTTTATTGTAACTCATTCGGTGTTTATCTTCGAAAAAAGAAGGAACGTTAAATGTTTTTTCATATCTTTGAAAGATACGTAGATTTATATAATGCCGATATTCCATTTATATGTCTGGTGACGAAAATATACGTTTTGTTAAGAAATTATTAATCTATCATAACGAGAATAATAATAATAATATATACTCATATTTGATGCTTTTCTTATATTAATTAAAATTAATCTAAATTATATCGAGGGTAAAATTTTTGTCTACGATAAATATTGTATAATATTGCATGAGTAACTAATATGTATTAATAATTAATATATTTTGAACGAAATGAATATTACTAATAATTTAGCAATATTTTTTAGCGTTTTTAAAACTATTAATAATATTCTTGAAAAGTGAAGTGAAATTATTGAAAAAATTCGCGTGTTACAACACTTGCAATATTTTACATGATATTTCTTTTAATGACAGAATAAAAAAAGATGAAAACCATATATAATAAAAATAATAAATATCATAAATATCAAATAATTATTAATAGTATTTTCTCAACTTAATTAAACTACATTATTATTATTCTTGAAACATTGAACGATATAATGTGAAATAATATTAAAATATTTGATATTGTTCTATATTATTAATAATTACGAGGAATCAAATTTTTTTTTCGTTATTTTAAATATCATTTTTATGATAAATTATATAAAATTTGTATAGAAACAATCCTATCGATTTGAAATTTTAGATTTTTTTTTTTTTTCTATTATTTTTTGATCTTTCATTTTCTTTGAGTAGATTACGTAAATCCTACTATAAAGAACTAATCAATTCGAATGTATTTTTCCGTTTCTCTTTATATTTAGTTATCCATTATCAAAGATCGTCTTTGAAATCGTACAGTCATACATTCGATGCTTTAACAATTCACGTTTTCTAATTAAAAATAATCTATTATTTTTATATTTTTGCATTATAATATCTATTATTGTATTATAATATTAAAATAATGATATATAAATATTTTATTTTATTACGTTATTGACAATTTAATGAAAAGATGTTATATTCATAACATAAAAAAAAAAAATTTTGTTATGAATCATTATAAATTATTGTAGAGAAAAGAAGAGAAAAAAAAAGAGAGAGAGAGAGAAAGATCAAAAGCTTTATTGAAAATTTGTATTTAATAGAGACTATAACTTGAAAATTCAATTATTTAAATATTAAAGTAAAGTATAAAAAAAAAAAAACAAAAAAAAACATTCATACAAAAGATGGAATAATATATAAATGAATTGTTAAAGTTATATGTATATAACTTTATAAAGATATATATATATAATAAAAGAAAAAAATATCTCGAGAAGTTAGCATTTCGAACACAAAATGGTTGATGATGAGAATTGTGTGTACGAATTGTTTATCGCTATTCGTAACGGGTTTGCGCACGGGTTTCACTTTCAATGAATATTCGCGTTTCCAGAGATGTCAATCTCCTCCCCAACTTGAATTGCTCGATTCGCGTCGCGTTTGTTCCCTCTCTCAACTCACTTTCCGTCGCGTTAATTGCACCCCGTTAATTGGCAATAATAATTGATTCAAACTGTTGATCGCGATTTTTAACATTCGATTCGCGATTATTATTATTATTATTATTATTATTATTATTATTCGATTCATGGCGTATCACGCCGCGCAAATAATTTCAAAATCGCGTTTCACGGTTCGTTCGTCGATTGGCATCGGTTCGTGAAATTCTCGTAATGGGTAATAATCGAAATAAGAGAGTGTAACGTTGACCTCTGAATTCGAACATAGAGATAACATCAATAATTTATCTAATCTATTTTAAAAGATTACGAAAACTTTTTTTCTATCGCATGTAGTAAATAAATGGGTAAATATGAAAACTATAATTATTAACATTATCTCAATAATCTTAATAATATCTTTTTTATCAAGGTAAATGGAACACTTTGCTGTTACCAATTTGTGTTCAAATTATGGGAAGTGGGTTATTAAATAATTGTACGTTACAAAATGATTTGCATATAATCGGACTAAATGTGTAGGTACGTTATAAATTCCGTGAGACGATTCCCTTATGTATTATTTCTTAATAATGTTGTCACGAAAAAAACAAACATCATTTCTTAATGTATCCGTAACCATTTTTTCTGTCATTTCTTTCAAAATGTTAAACTCGGAAAATTAAAAATAATAAAAAATAATAGAAATTCATAGTTGTAGTGTAATATCGAACATAATAAGTAAGAGATCGAAAATAATATCTAAATATAATCGGATTTTATATTTTTTATTATATAATATGTATAATATTATATAATACGTATAATAAATTAAAGTTTCTATTCAAATTTTATCTTATTAATTTTATATAAAAATATTATTAATTAAATTAGTTTTTTTTTTTGAAATGCTAAAATCTCATTTCAGCATTAATTAATTTTAAACGCGATTCTTTAAGATTTAAATTAATAAGTTGATTTTAAGCCTCATTTGTTAATTTATTCGATTCAAGATTCTTCTTTCTCATATTTCAAGGTTGCATTTATTCGAAACAATTATTAATAATCATATTTGCAATTCATAAGAATGAATTATATTAATATTATTATAAATAATAAGATTTTCCTTTTATTTCTATGATGAGAAAATATCTATATATATATTTGAATCGACTTCGATGCACGACAATATTGAAAGTAATCGTTTAAATAGAAATTTATCTTTTTTTTCTAAAAGATTTAAAAAATTAAAATATTATTATATCGAAGATCTATTTATGAAAAAAAAAAAATTATAACCTGAAATGAAAATAATTGAAATGGTCACGATATAGATCCATCTCGTATGCTGAATTGTTCGATCAGGAGATAAATGATGGATCGATCAATCGAAATATATGAAACGGTGAGACGAGATAAAGATTGTGAAAAGATCAATTTGTTCAACACATAATGAATTCATAAAAGACTGTTGGAAATATGAAAAAAAAAACGAGTCCATAATCCATAATCCATCATTGGAAAAATGATTAAAATCGTCAATTAATTTTTCGACGATGTGTTTATTAATTGTTTATCCGTCCGATGAAGCACTGGTGTGGTTGTTTCGCGTTTCGAAAGAAAAGTGACTCGGTGGAGAGGACATGTACGCGAGACAGCACATTGGCTCTGTTTGCGCTTGTTAATCAGTTCAATTGAATAACGTATTAATACGTCGGGGTCACCGTAAGGGGTTAATCGCAATGTCCACGCCGGACACGATGGACACCATCGATGAAGCGGAGCAGGCGTGGCGTGAGTATTATACAGAACGACAAAATTTACAACGTTTTATTATTTATTATTTGTTCATTATTTTTCGTCCATCGTGTATCAAGTTGTACACGATGTTTCATTGAAAAAATAATTATATATTCGATGTTTAATTACAAATTATAAACCAATATAATATACATGAAAACGAAAAAGCAGAGAATTTCAATAGATCATTTTTTAATAAATCATTTAATAATATCTATGTCAATTTTCTGTGTTGATTATAATATTTTTTACAAATGAAAATAATAGCTATTTATTTTCCTATGGATATTGATTAAATCGCAAGGTATTGAAGCGAAAATTTTAAAACAATCACGATTAGCTGTTATGGCACAGAATTGCACAAAGCTGATAAAGCTGAGAAAATAAACTGGTATTTGTAGATTGACGAAATATATTTATGTAAGGTAAAAAATTGTATAAAATTGGCGAAGCGATAACAATGCTCGATCCGATGAACGAGAATTCCCTTTTACAGACGAGATGTTGGAGTGCGAGACCGGATCCCTGTTGGGCCGAGTCGCGGATCTCGAGAGGCAATCCTTGGCGCAAAGGGACGAGATAGTTTGTCTTCGCGCTACTCTCGCAGACGCGTTAAGGCGGATCGCACTGTTGGAAGGACGCGAAAAAAGGGAGGATGAGAGGAACGAGAGGAGAAACGAGAGGATGGTGTCCTCGCCCTTAAGGAACGGACACGTATCGCTTAGGAGTAAGTACAAGTCGGAATCACGATCCTTGCCGATTATTTTGCATGCCTAAAATCGCGAATTGCTAACGTGTTCAACTTGCCTTTTATCGAAGGCATACAAATTTTTATAGAAGGTGTATTTTTATTACAATGTTTTACAATATTTTCAAAATTAGAGAAGCTAGGAAAGAAAATCTTGACAGAAAAGATGAACGACAAGTTTCAGAAAATATATAACGTTGTAATTATCGTGCTAAAGCTTCGAGAATAAAAAGTGAACACTCGATAGATTATAATGGAATAGATAAAATTTCCTTTGATCGATATCTTCTGCTTTGCTTTATAAATGATATCTGTTCGTGACCCGTATTTGAAATAACGAAAACTCGAGGCGTGGCAAATCGTGCAAAGTTGAATACGTCAATCAATCGGAATAATTAGTATTTGATCTTTTATTACTTTCGCGTGGAACAGGGTTGAGCCATTATTGATTCTCGATACGACGCGACGGAACAAAAGTAGAAAAACCAATAAAGATGAACGCATCCAGAACGTATATAGAATTATCGTAATAAAATATTTGAATCGTATAAATATTAAATATCGGATAAACTTTAGAAATAATGAGAGGAAATTAAATTATTTCTTTGTAAGAAAATAATGGAAATTGTTTGAGATCGATCCTCGTCAGTTTGTTGGTAATTACGAAGCGTGAAGCAAAAAAAAAACGATATTATAAATTTTCAAGACGAGAATAAGTTTGGACGGGAATCGTTACAAAAGCTATGGTGGCATGTCGCGAATCACAAATAGCTGGAGAAGCCTGACGAAGCTGAGCCCATTTGAAACAAAGTTCATCGGGTTTACCTGTTAACACGCCACACTGCTTAGGGTCACGTTCCGTTTCGTTTCGTTCGCGATTCACGAGGCAATTTCATCGGGCAATTGCAGTTCTATCTATTCCGAGATACTATTCCAGTTCCTGCCAACCAGAACGTACATTTTTGAAACGAACGTTTATAACATCGGTATCTAAAAAGGTTTGAAACGATATCGCGCATAGTTCACGGATAGTTCGGTTTATTTCAATGATAATATATCGGTGAAAAATGCACGAACCGGTCTTAACCGTACAAATCTTACTCGATCTTTCTTCTTTCTCATTTTTTAAACGTCTTAAGAGCTTAGAGTTATATATAAATAATTAGAACGAGATCTGTGATATTAAAAATACGGTTATGCGACAAATATTAATCTTATTAAAATTGTATTGTTATTAGGTAATCAAAATTCAACACCAGCGAAAGACGTACGTTTACGTCAAACTGGTTGCTTGAGAAATTCATCATCCTCCGGATCTTCTCAAGACGTTCGAGATTCGATTTCCAGTCCACGGAGGCCAGTCAGTTACACTCATTCCTCTCAACTTCCTCAAAGGTATATCGTTTTTTTTTCTCTACCAATGATCGCGTTTTTTCGAATTAATTTATTTTTAATATATTTATAATATATATTGCCATTATCGAAATTGGTTATAACCGTCGACCACTTTTTTCTCTATCTTTTTTATTCAAAAAAAAAAAAAATTAACGATTAATTAACTTTCAGAAGGTCAGTTCATTATCAATCGACGGGTTCTTTACATTCGGACAGTCCCAGTAGTAGTAGTGTTTCCCCGGTGCCATCGCCAAGTCCTAGAGCTACACCACTGCCAGTAGCCAGGTACTCGAATTAAATTAATTCACTTACTATATTTTTCCCCCTTTTTTAGCAACAAATCGAGTAAAATAAATAGTTTTTTTTTTACATAGAGAGTAGATAAATGCGATGAAAAATGATACTTTTTCTATTATAAGAAGGAATAAATTGAAAATGTTCTTTCATGAGATTGAAACTTAAATGTATCATTTTTCTTTTTTAGATATGCATGCTAACGAATATAATATAATTAACGCGTCTGTACTTAGAATTCGTAATTTTCGCTTGTGCTCGTGCTCGTGTGTTTGTAATTGAATTATGATCAATTTTGTACTTTAGATATAATACGAATTGAGAAATCTTATTCTCTTCTAGTATTATATATTTGGTCATAATAAAATCTACGTAATTACTTGTTATATTATTGCATCGTGTTACTTCTTAATAATTTATTACTTACAGCATGAGAATTAAAAAGGAATTAGTACAGGAGATAGGAATAAAATTTTATACGTTGACGTTAATTTGAATTATTAACTAGCGTAAAACAATTGTTGTTAAAAAGTAAGATTAAAAAATTTTAACGTATTTTGATTTAATAGTTCGAATTATATTTTAAAAATCTGCTAGGAATTTTCAATTAATTTGTACGAATAAATTTTATTCCGTTAAAAGAAATAAATTCAAAGTAGTATATTTGAATAGATTAACGTGTAATAATAAGAAAATGATGGAATCATATGACATCTTTATCGTATCGTGAAAACGCGAATTTCGCGTGAAGATTGTAAAATGTCACGTGCGATGGCAGGGGGGAGGGAGGAAAAATGTCGTTTAACGCGACAAATCGAATCCCGTGGACGATGCGACAGATCCGCAACCGAAGGTAATTGTGTTTTCCCGTCACGCATTAATCCTGTTATTCGATAGATCACCGACAGCAAGATCAAACGGGCCACCCCAAAGCAGCTTAAGAAGGGCGAAACGGTGGTCGTCCACAGGGGATTTTACGCATTCCCCGCAAAATCAGGGAAGCAATTCGCAACTCGTGGGTGGCAGGTAAGCGATATTAACGAGCGAATGCACATTTGCCTGCTTTCCTCTTATTTACGGAGGACTTGACTCGATTTTAACCCTCGTCCGAGCGCACCTTTCTTTTTTCGCTTCCTTGAACGTTTTACTACTACCTTACGTGACGGTCGTACGCGCTTTTCTTTTTTTTTTTTTTTTTTTTTTTTATATATCCTTCGATGAATGAAAGCGAATACCGGAGCGCGAATAAAAATAGGAAACACCTTCTCGTCAAGTTCGTGGAATTATTAGAGTGCAATGTTCTCTGAAAGCGAGTTGAAATCGGTCACGGTGACCGATTATTAGAGTCTTGGAGAGACTTTGTTTCTTTTTTGCTTTTAAAACTAACGATTTGTTCCCAATCTTGCAGCTATGAAAGTTTAGTTTTTTTTAATTTCAATGATAAAAATATATCGATCGAAAAGGAATCCTTACAAACGAATAAAGACACGTAGTATTTATACACGGATATTCTCGAAAGTTTTGCTTCTGAATGGATGGAAATTCATTATTATTTAAATTAATAATTTTGACGGTAAGGTTGGCGCGAAAGAGGAGCGTCTAGCGAGCAACATTGACGGAGCAACGGACTATCGATTATGTCTCGCGACGTGAATTCGCTTCACAGCTCATTAATCGTGGAAAGCGTATAACCATCTCCCGTTTGTTTTCCATTCGTCCGAGCTTCCCTTTGGTGGTAACTGAATCGAGAGAATCGGTTACCGGAAGTGGATAATTCTTCTCATCACATCGCGGGCGAGAAAGCGCAAATGGTCCATGGAAAAAAAAAGGAAAAAAAAAAGCACGTACGACTCGTCACTTTGTTTATTTCATTTTTTTTACGTGTTTTTTATTCGTTTATTTATTTATTTATCACTTTTTCTCTAACTCCTCTCACTCCGTTCGGCACCGCATGGTTTTCGTTTGCATTTTCGTTCATTATAGATTGTCAGCCTCCACCAAGTCTTTGTTCAACCTCTTCAAGCCCCCGGCGCTGAACAACGTGAAACATGGGTAAATAAAAATACATTTTTCGCATTTTATCCGATTTACATCGATCTTTAACCTTTTCGCGAATGCGATGTATGCATATCTTTTTATCAAATTTTTAACAATTTGTTAAATATAAGTATAGATATAAATTAATCAGATATTGTCTAATCTTACGAGAATTTATGAGACGATAGTATTAATACCAGTAATATCATCTGAGTTTTACGTATAGAGAAATCTAAATCTTTTTTTATTTATAACGAAAATAAAAATTGAAAATCGAAGATTAAAAAAAACATACACATCGAGCCAATTGTGAAAAGGTTAAGAGAAACAAATACGACACGTGCGTCGGCTGTGATCGTGTCGGCCACGTGCACGTTACACGTGTACAATTGCCTTATAAGATGCATCTTTTTAAACTTCTTTCAGGTGAGTGTTAACAAGTACAAATAGTTTTTCGTTCGTTTGTTCGTTCGATTATTCGTTTGTTCTCTCTAATCTTTTATAGATTAAAAAAAAAGAAAAACCAATTTATCGATCGCGTGCAAATTAATGATTATATAAAATAAAAAGGATCTTGTAACTGTCATCGCGTAAACTCGAATCATTTCTCAACACAGTATTACAACTTTTCTTTTGGTCAAACGATAATACTTTAGAGTGAGACTCGTTTTGTTAAATATTAAAAAAAAATATTAGATTGCAATGTGTCGATGTCACATCTACGAACGCGCATCCAATCGATTCAAATAACGAACGAGATACTGGCGTACTTCGTAGTAGTTATAACGTAAGTTATAAAGCTTACGTTACTACGATAGAACTCGTATAGCATGCCGTTAATTACTATGATAAAAGTTGCGACCTCGAACGTTTGGATAAGAGCGAGATTTCCTAGCGATGATGAGCCCACCTTCGTCAAATGGAATCGGGGTAAAAAGCGTGAATTATACATTATGCATTCGCTCGAGAACCGTGAATGGATGTATCCTAATTAAAAAAATTCTAATTTTAAATAGTACACGCCTAGTTGGAACGTATTAACCCGAGCATAGCTTTCTTTTTCGCTCGTGAAAGGAAAACCTTGTTTGGAACGCGGCTCACCTTCCTATCTCTCCTCGATCAGCCTTCCGTAACCTACTTACGATCTTTCGAGTAACGTTTTCGAACTTTTACTATCCTTATTTCTTTCCTCCTTTTTTTTTTTTTAATTATTATTAACATATTGATTAATTCATTAGACTGCGGATTTTTTTTTACGCTCAAAACAAATATTCTATATTTCAACGAATATATGTAAAGAAATATATGCGCATAATGTTTATTACACGTATGCACGAGAATTCGCAGTCTAACGGGTACTTTTTGCTCGAAACTGTCTCTTGATTTTCTGTTCTTCGAATGAGCAAGTGTTTATAACGATCTATGTATTGCATATTAAATAGCATGTTTTCCGTGTTGTTATCTTTTTTATACGGTAACGATAACGATATATCGTGGACATCTCGTACAAAATTTCGAAAATTTTTCGAAATTTTGTATTTAATTCACGATTAAAAAGAACTCGATAATTTACTTTTAATAATGGAAAAGGAAAGGTAAAGTTAAAAGTTTGAACGGATAAATCTAAGAAGGGAAAGTTATGTAGCAAAAGTGATGTATATTTTTAATTAACTAAACGAAATTATTATTACGAGATATAATGACAATGAATTTTATTCGAAATGACAGTACTTTGGAAATAATATGGAAATTTAATTATCATATAACGGTGCTACGTTCTTTTAATCGTAAGTGCAAACAAACTTTAAAATATGTTTGCTTAAAAATATTTGCAAGAAGATTTCGCAGTCGAATCAATCGTAATTTCTACAGGGGTTAAAGATCGACGACATAATCATAAATTCCGTTAAATGGCAGAGGAACGAAGAGACAAGCGCAAACCGGTATTCGATATATAACCGGGAATCCACGCGTTAAAGTCACCGTGTACCAAATGAACGAAGGATAATCTACAAAAAAAAGCGCACAAAAAAGGGGGTGTAGAAGAAAGAGGATACGTTTTCATTCTGAATAAATTCGCTACGATAATTGAGAAAATGTTATAAAACGAGTAAAAATTATTCATTGTATTAAAAATAATCCAAAAAACGAATAATTGTGAATCTGTATTCATCCTATATTAATCGTCTTAATCGTCAAATCAACCTCGATACGTAATCTCGATCTTTTCCCGCAAACTTGAATCATTGGCAAAATAAGTATGCGATAAATATTCGAGGATAATTCTCTTCGAGCACTTTCTAAGAAAGGTTCCAAGGCGACAGGTATGAAAGTCACGTGAATAACAACGGTCGTTCATCGCACAAAAGAGCTATGCCATTGCATTCCCGAAGAAAGTGAATCGCGATTTCTGTCGTTATACAACCGTGAATTCCCAGTTTCCTGGTACAAGCTGTTTACCAGCGGATCTTATAGACAGTCGGTAAAAAAATTAGCGAACAAGCAAAGTTCCTCTTCACGCTTTACCGATTCATTTTCATCGTATCCGTTTTCGCTTGGTATTTAAATACGCTTCGATACTCCTTAACTTCTTGGTTATAAATTTTACTTGCACGCAAAGAGTTGGATTATGTAATTTTTTATGGCATGGTAGTAGTCATTATTTGTGTCCTTTTAGTTGTAAAATTTGATGTAAAAATAGATAAAAATTTGATGGAATAAAAATTGTTTCGAAGGTAAATTTTATTCGATTTAAAAAATTTATCATCGAGAGTGAATAATATTTTAATTTGTACAAATATTCGCGTTATACGTATATTTTACTTACATACATATTTTATTATATATTTAAATTTTTATTACATAAACAAAAATTTTCAGATAACGCACAGATACTTTCGCGATTGACTGTACATATATCGCTTGGATGAAATGTTCGCTCCAGCCGGCATTCATTCAACATCCGAGTAATTCACGGTCGCCATTAACGCAAAAACGTATCCTAAATCGAGAGAAGAAATAAAACGGTCTACCGTTTTTCTTTTCACGGAATGGGCAATTTCGGGTTTTTTCAAGCGAGTCGTAAATCGCGTCTCGAACGGCAGACAGTCCTTGATCGTAATCGCGGATGAGGAGAGTTGGGACGGGGAAGCGGAAAGGAAGGCAAGAATGACGTAACGTGGTAACGCGCAAAACTATGCCTGGTCGGGTAATAAAAGCGAACGCGCGCAACGAGTGACTCATTCTTTCGCGGTTTCGAGAGTAGATCGTCACGGAAAGTTCTGCAATCTATCAATCGGTTTGCCATTTAAACACGGTAGGTGTAACATCATTCTCCAAAGTAAAATAAATCGATAAGACGATAATTCAGCCTTGATCTGATAATTAAAGATAGATAAAGTGATCGTTGCGTGGTAAATGACGGGAAACTTGCAAGTGACGGGTAAAAGATGAAAGTAGTAGTTGATCAATGATAGTGTTTTTATAGAGAAAACGTGATTTCCAATCTGTTATTTACAACTCGTAAGAAAATCGCCTTTTAACTCAATATTCCACGAAGTAATCATTCGATGGAGATTAAGTTTCAAGATTTTCCTTGAATGTGTTAAGAATTGAAGATGAGAAACGCGTAAATTTCGCTCGAAGCGATAGAAAGATCGGTTTTTGAAGAAGGAATGAGAAAAAACAGGATATCTAAATTCGCAGCACGAGAGATATGCAGTACAACGAGGAGGAGAATACCGTCCGCATGTACCTGCGGGGACGACCCGTTGTCCTCTACGTTCCGTCGCCTTTGACGGAGTCGTACGACCTTCACAAAGTCAGCACACCGCCCCAGAGCAAATTGAAACTCGACTGGGTGTACGGTTACCGAGGCAGGGATTGTCGAAGCAATTTGCATCTACTGCCTACCGGTGAAATCGTTTATTTCGTCGCAGCTGTGGTGGTATTGTACAACATGGAGGAGCATAGCCAGAGGCATTACCTGGGTCATACGGACGATATCAAATGGTGAGTTAATCGCGACTTAATAACGATATGGTAAGCAAAATTCGCTATTGAAAAATTTTTTTTTTTTTAAATACGACGCGTAAAAAGTTGAAGTACAGTTTTCTTTGGTAAAAAATAGGTACTATAAAATTACTATGATTATAAAAGAAAGTATTAAGCTTTTTTTTTTTTTTTAAAAACAACGCTTAAAAAGTTGAAGGACAGTTTTTTTTTGTAAAAAATAAATACTATAAAATTACTAGTATTATAAAAGAAAGTATTAAGCTTTTTTTTTTTTTTTAAAAACAACGCTTAAAAAGTTGAAGGACAGTTTTTTTTTGTAAAAAATAAATACTATAAAATTACTAGTATTATAAAAGAAAGTATTAAGCTTTTTTTTTTTTTTTAAATACAACGCTTAAAAAGTTGAAGTACAGTTTTCTTTTGTAAAAAATAGATACTATAAAATTACTATTATTATAAAAGAAAGTATTAAGCTATTTTTTTTTTTTTAATCATATTGATTGAATATATTACATTGATTGAATATATTTCAGCATAGCCATTCATCCGAACAAAATGGTAGTCGCTACTGGACAAGTATGTGGGACCGATAGGCGAGATGCTATGGTAAGAACGCGATTAAACTAGAATTAATCGAGAAATGAATGAAAATAACGATTTTGTAATTTATTATTGATACTAAAACGCTTATAATTATAATTAGGCACGAATCTAAGATTTATTATGTCGCACGATGTATTTCGTTTCATTAGATTCAAAAAAGAAATAGAAATAAACAAGACTAATAAATATATTTCGAAAATATAATAAATTTTACCATGATATTTTTTTTTATCTATTTTCTAATTTTTATCGAAAAGCATCGAAATTATTATTTTTCATTCGACTCTCTGATAAATATTCGTAATATATCTACGTGTATATCTTAGGATTTAATCGTAAAATTTTTCTCAGCCACACATAAGGATATGGAATTCGGTCAGTTTGGCAACTCTTTGTGTGATTGGTAACGGCGAATTCGATGGTTCGATTTGTTGCCTCTCGTTCTCGAAGGCAGACGGTGGAAATTACTTGTGTGCGATCGACGAGACCTCCGATCACAATATCTCGATCTGGGATTGGCAGAAAGGAGAACGAGGTACCAAGATAACTGAAACAAAGGTATGTTCCAATTCGCTGATACAATTGTTACAATTAATTAGTTTTAATTTAAACCTATAGATTATAGGAAACATATACCTACTATTTCTCATTCTTTCATTCTTATCATTCACTATAAATTCCGATAACTTAAATATTACTCTGCATAGAGCAGAGTAAAATTTATTATCGTGCAAAGCTGAAAATAGTAGATATATATATTTTCTCCTATCCGAAATTTTAAAGATTTTATATATATATATATATTAAATATTTTTTCTTTATCTAATAGATAAAGAAATAATTATTTTCTACATCTGTTTTGAATTTCTTGCAATTTTATTACATTCAAATTAATTATTCTCCATTTTGAAAAGTTGTATTTATATAAAATTAAAATTTTATATCATTATATATCGATATATATTAGATAATATCGTTATTTCTATAAAAGAGATAAATACACGTGTCAAGGTCGACGTATTGTGCAGTATGGATTCATTTCTAAGAATATTATATATTATCGGAATCATAAATGTGCGAGAAAGAATAGAAAATATATAATTTCGGTCACAAAGAAACACACGGTTGATTCGTGAGTGTGCGAAACCGGAACCGGTCCATTCAATGAACGACGATGGTCAATTGCAGTGCTCGGTGGACACGGTGGTATGCGCGGAGTGGCATCCGCTGGAACGGAACCAGATCGTGTCCTGTGGGAAAGGACACCTGTCTTTTTGGTCCCTCGATAATGGTGGTATGCTGTACAAGCGAATGGGGATTTTCGAGAGCAGAGAAAAACCGAGATATGTCACCTGTGTGGCGTTTAATCAAAACGGTGATGTTCTTACCGGTGATAGCAACGGTAACATCATTGTTTGGGGCAGAGGTAAAATAAAAAGAAGAATTGTATCGGTGATTTCGATTTTCTTCTTTCTAATTCTTACGTGTCGAATATTTAATATTTTTTTTCTTTTTTTACTTGAAAGTTAAAAGCTAAATTTTAATACGTTACAATAATCTTTAAATTCATCCAGATTGTTGTTATTTGTTTTATTTGATATCATTTCAACTTTTGAAACATTTGAATTAATATCGTATTCGAGATTAATAAGATAAAAAAATAATATTTGTAATTAAAATAAAATATATTTTATTTACAGGAACAAACACAATTTCTAAAATAGTGAGAAACGTTCACGAAGGATCGATATTTTCAATTTGTGTCCTGAAAGATGGTTTTATCGTTACCGGTGGTGGCAAAGATGGCAAAATTTTGTATTTCGACGAATCTTTAAATTTAACAGGAGAAGAAGCACAAGTAAGCAGAATTAATCAGAATATGATGTTCAAATAATGATAAAAAAAATAATTTTAATTAAAATGAAAAAAATAATTTTTTTTTTTAATAACAATCAAATCATAATAGACAATAATGTTCATCATATATACAGTTTATAAAGATTTAAATAATCATTTAAATATTTTTCTTGGAAATGTTCGTTCCAAGAATAAAAAAAAAATGATTATTCATGTCTATTACTTATTTAGAAATTAGAATTGATCAATGATGAGACATGCGAAGACATTGAAATGTGTGGCAAGGATGAAGATAATAATTGATTAAAAATTATCTTTTTTTTTTTTTTACACCAACTTAGAGAGCTCGTATAGAAATAAATGAGAAAACATTTTTCTAATAATAATACGTTTTATATTTAACAGATCGAAGATCATTTCGGTGGAATTCGAACACTCGCGGAAGGCAGAGGTTCGCAGTTGTTGATAGGAACAACGAGAAACTGCATTTTAGTCGGTGATGTAGGAATGGGATTCAATCCAGCCATGTTAGGTCACGCTGAAGAGGTTTGGGGACTCGCTGCTCATCCAACTCTACCTCAATTTGCAACAGCAGGTCACGACAGATTATTACAAATGTGGGATAGTCTCAGTCATACTGTTGTTTGGAGTAAAGATATTGGAGTTAGTATTTAATTAAATTATTATAATATAAATATTTATTTTTTAATATAGTGTGTAGTAAGTGAATAATGCGAGTATTCAAATATACTCAGATTATATTTTAATTGAGAAATATTTTACATTTATCAAATATTGTGTAAAATTTAAAACGAGTAATGATTCGAAATAACATCAAATCGTAATCATATACTTTAATGAAAATTTAATACTTTATAAAGTAGTATGTTCTATTTCATAGTTCAAATTGTGGAAAATAACATGATTCAAAATAGTAATTAAATAAAATCTTTATTCATTTAGGAGCAAGCACAAAGCATCGGGTTCTCACCAGATGGTAATGTTATGGTGGTCGGATGCACTTCCGGAAAATGGTTAGCAATTGATAGTGAAACGCGAGAATTATACACTCACCATAGTGATGGTTCAGAACCTATTCAGGTAAATTGTTAATTTAGATAAAAATAATTTTTTATGCATTTTTTTAAATAAATGTTATATATCAATAAATATTTCTCTCTCTCTCTCTTTCTCTCTCTCTCTATATATATATATATACAATGATTAAAAAAATACTTATAAAATAAATTTTAAAAAAGTTTTATCAAATATATTAAATATTTTATTTTCTTTTCATATTTTTATTCAAATATTTAAAACTAAATTTAAAACAAAGTTATAAGAATCTTTATTCTATTGGTGAAATTGACTTTATAATTTAATTTCAGGTCGTTCGATTTTCACCAGATGGTACTTTATTAGCATTGGGTTCCAGAGATAACTATATTTATATTTATCAAGTTAATGAAGATGCAATTAAATATAGTCGAGTTGGACGATGTATGGTAAGATTATTTTTATTATAAATTTTTAAAATTAATAATAATTGATCTAAAAGAAATATTATAAAAATTTTATCATGTAAAAATTAAAAATTAATACGTATGTATAGACATAATTATATATACGATAAATTTTTTTTTAAATATATAATCTTAATTTAATATAAATATATTTTTTATTTTATTATTTAAACTTGCTTTATATAATATTCTTTAATATTATTATTAGTTAGTTAATATTTATTGTTAAATATATGTATAATTATATATAAGCAATTTCTTTTAGAAATTATTTATATTGTTGTTTATATTCTTGTATATATTTACTATTATTGATATTTGAAAAAAAATATAAAATTACACATAGATCACTAATCAATATTAAATGTCTATTGATATTTAAAGATTTAAAATTGGATGCTGTACAAATTGCTTTTATGCATCATAAAATTTGATCTATAATCATATCATTTGTATATTTTCATTTTGTGGTATTCTTCGATGTTTTATATGTTGAGATAATATATTATTACATATATATATTTATTTTCATTGATGAGCATGCAGTAATATAAATATACATACGTATATCGATGTTAAATAATTAGAAAATAATTTATTTTATTCTTTTAAAAGAATATATATTTATGGAAAGATCATTTTTTATTTTTTTAATGTGTATGTATAGAAAATTAATTTAGAATCATGTCCAACCATTGTAAATGTTTCATTATTCGTCATTCGTTTGTTTAAGAGAAAGATATTTCATTTATGAACAAATATATACATATATAATTATATTTTCATTGATTACAATATTACATTATCGAAACAAAATGTGTTTAAAATTTTCAGAATTCAAAATAGTAAAATTTACAAACGATTAGAATCACAAATATTACATATATTATTTCTTGATTTTTAGCCAAAGAGGATACGCAGACGTGGTGTAAGACATATTTTTAGTTGATCAAAAATGAAATAGAGACATTACATTATAAATTATTGAAAATTTTATAAAAAATAATTTAACTTTATATCTATATAATCGATAAAAATAGGAATTTAAAATATATAAAATATTTCTTATAATGATATAATTTTTTGCGTTTAATAGATTTCTTAATGAATTTCTACAGATTTTTACATTTGTTATTACATTCGTAAATACAATTCTTTAGAATGAATTATGTATTAATATTGTAACAAATTTTTTAAATTTTCGATAAAAAGCATTAAATATCAACTTTTATTATTTTATTTTTATCTATTTTTTAATATATTCTTTTTTCAATAATTTGTAAAAAAGAAAATTTTGTAATTTGTAAAAAAGGGACAAGATAAAATAATTACAATAATAAAAATTATTAATTTTAAACTTTAGAAGAATTACGAAGAATTATATATTTTTTTTTTTCGTATCTTTGATTTTATTACTATTATATTAGGTATGCAATCAATGAAATTATTTCACATTATATGTGAAATTAATGATTTTTTTCTATATTTTGATATATATATTTAAAATTATTATGAAAAATCTTTAAAATTTATCATCAACGTGACGAATGTAATGTCTTTATGAATGATGCAATATTATCATAGCTATTCATAGTCACATATGAGCAGACATTTCTGTTTAAAAATTGCTTACCGCGAGCACGCACGGTAGTCATTGTTTGCACCAATTGTTGACACTCTTTCCATAGTAATGGCCTGTAAACTGGGCCAACTCTATTTAGTTGCTTTCAAGGGAGCCATTGACATAATTTTTTTTTATTTGCGAGGCATTTAGAAGATAGAAGCGAGGAATATTTTTTTCTATGTTTAAACGATGAAAATTTGTTTCAGGGACATTCCAGTTTTATAACTCATTTGGACTGGTCAGCAGATGGTCAATATTTACGTAGCAATAGCGGCGATTATGAGGTATTATATTGTAAGTAAAGAGTTCCATATTTTTCCAATGTTTTTTGCCATATTATATGCTACTTATATTAAATTATTCAAGAAATTTAACCTGAGATAATAGGAGATTGTATACATTAGATAAAAAAAATAGAAATTTTATTTTATTTTTTTTTATTTTTTTATTATTGGAAAAGATGTCATTGATATCCTATCTTATTTTATTTTTGCCTATATTAAATTTCATAATTTTGGCGAATTAAAATAATTAAAATAAACAAATTTAATAATTTTTAAATATTTTTTTAACTATTAAAAAAATTAAAATCACATTAAAACATCGTTTTGCATGAAATTTTTTTAAATGTTATAATAAATAATAAATTAATTTAAAAGATACATAAGAAAAGCATATAAATAAAATTTTATGTAATATTTTAGGGAATCCCGGAGTCTGTCGTCAGATTCCACAATCATCGATAATGAGGGACATGGAATGGGCAAGTCACACTTGTGTAATATCATTCGAAACGATTGGAATATGGCCCGAAGGCGCCGATGGCACAGACGTAAATAATTGCACGCGAAGCAGTGATTCGAAATTGCTCGCAACCGGAGATGATTTCGGAAAAGTAAAATTATTCTCTTATCCTGCTTGTCAACCAAAGGTAACACTTTAAATTAACGTTATTAGAAACTTAAAAAATAAAATATCAAGAATAACGAAAACACTTACGTTGAATTGCATTCGAGTTTTTGAGAAAATGAAATTTAAAAATTTATAAAAAATATAACATGAACACGATTAATTCTCATTGATTGAATATGATTAAATGATAAGTATGAAAAATATATAATTCTATATTTTTTATTTATTTTTTATTCACACAGTGTCCATATTTTATAAAAAATAAATATTTATAAATATTTGAAGTTCATAAGATTGAAAAGATAATCATAATTTTACAATTATATTTTTGCAAGAAATGAAAAAAAGAAAATACGTGTGAATTATTATAAATATGTGATATCTAACAAATAATTTCTCTATTCCAGTCTTTATGTCACGCATACGGTGGTCATTCAAGTCACGTTACGAACGTTTCGTTCCTTCAAGACGACACTCGACTAATTTCCACGGGCGGAAGTGACACAAGCGTTCTTCAATGGATCGTAAACTATTAACTCTATTATATAATTATGTAACTGAAAAACAAAATGAAAGTTACAGAAGCGATAAAACATGAAGCGGATGCTCTTCTGAATTTAGTGGTACATACAACGTTCGTTAAAAGAAAATATGCGATTCTTATTTAAATCAAGGAAAAGAATCGATAACGAATAAACTAATTATTTAGAAGAGAAATCTCGATTGAACGAGAAAAGATACTGAATGCGGTTAATGAAATATTAGCTAAATTTTACCGTTTAAGTGTCCTTTACGAATTGAAATTACTGAATGTCATGTAATTTCTTAGGTATAGAACGATCTTCGTAATTTTTTGCTTCAAAAAAAAAGAAAATTAAAAAGAAGAAGAAGAGAAAATGAGAAAAATTTAGCGAAATCTTGTACCCACGATGTGGCGACAGATAAACTTATACAACTTATTTTAACAGCTAATAATAACGTAACGAAGTGTCTTTTACATATTTCGCAACTATTTTTCAAACGTCCAAACGCTGAATCTATATATTTCTGTGTTCTTTATCTAATTAATCACCGATGAAATGCACTGTGCTGTTTCTCACGTAAAAAAAAAAAAAAAAA